CGGAGAACCGCCGGATTCTGGAGGAGCAAGGGTGTGTCGTCAAGGAGATCGACCCGGTTTACCCGCCGGAGAACCAGACCCGGTTCGCGATGGCTTATTATGTGATTAATTATTCTAAGCTCAGGATTTGGGGGGTACGTATTAATTTTTTAATCAAATATTATAGTATTTTTTGTACTATAAAGAAACAATAAAAACAAAAAACGTGATTGGTAGCAATACTTTGGTGTGAGTAATCATTATAGGCTCAATATTTTGAGGGTACGTATTAATTTTTTAATTCAAATCTTATACTGCTTTTGTATTATAAGGAAAAATATTAACGTAAGTGTGAGATATGCGATCGATCATATTCTGTATTATAAGAAACAATATAAATAGTTAAGCGTACGTGATCGGTAGTAATCTAATTATTTTTTATGATACTAGGTTTTTGGCATTTTTGGAAGTGGGTAGAGGAAAATGTTTGTTTTGTTATGATTTTACTAATATTTTGGTAACTAGCAATAAGGAAAGTGAATCCCTTAAGGTTTGGCATGTGGGATTTACGTGTTTACTGTATGTCGACATACTTACCATATTGGTAGTACAAATAAAATTAGAAGGTTTCTTGTTTCCTAAACTTTGAATTTTTGACTCTCGATTTTATTAGGAATATCTAGATTGATAAAAATGAATTGTTTTGTTATTTAATTAGCGTAAGGAGCCGCATAATTTTTGTAAATAAACTACTAATTAATGAATTTATTTCTTAATCATGCATTACCGTTTTGTTTATGCTTTTAAGGTTGATAAATTAGTAGAAGATGAATAGTTTCGTGATACAATATAAGGATTTAATTCCTCTCATGGTAAATAGAAATACAGTCTTAAAAATCTATTTTAAATCACAATAGTTTATGTTAAATAGATAATTATAGGTCATTTCAAAACAAAATCAAGAACGAATATAATGCAGAGAAAATTGTAATTATAATAAACTTTTATGGGGTATACAAATAAATTTATAATAAGTTACCTAGGATATGAGTTGCGGTTTTATTTAGCAAATTTATTAGTAAAATTGAGTTATCTGGAGCGAATGAGATCTATTTGAGTCTGAATAGTTTATTTAGCAAAATAAGCCGTCAACTGGTAGTAATTCTATGTTCCTTGCAGTTTGTGGAGTACAAGAAGATGATCTATCTTGACGCAGACATCCAAGTATACGCGAACATCGACAACCTCTTCGACCTCCCCGACGGCAGCTTCTACGCCGTCATGGACTGCTTCTGCCCGCCTCCCTCCCTCTACTTCAACGCCGGCATGTTCGTCTTCGAGCCCGCGCTGAGCACATGCGACGCCCTCCTTGAGAAATTGAAGGTCACGGAGCCTACGCCGTTTGCAGAGCAGGTGATCGAGTGGGGTGGCGCTCTTTCTCAGCTCGTGCGATTTTGTTGAGGGCGATTTTGCGAATTTCTGGACTAATTTTGCGATTTTGTGGTTTGTGCAGGACTTTTTGAACATGTTCTTTAGGGATGCTTATAAGCCAATTCCGTTTGAGTATAATTTGGTGCTTGCGATGCTGTGGCGTCACCCGGAGAACGTGGATCTTGGGAGGGTCAAAGTTGTCCATTACTGTGCGGCTGTAAGTGAGAAATTTATCGTAAACTTACATCTTTAAATCTTTAAATTTATTTTAAGACGACATCAGAGCAACTTATACGGAAAAAATGTGTATAGAAAATGATGTTAACTAGTTTAATAAAATAGTTGTCATTTCTTATTCATACATTTCTAGATTCATCTATTGTGGCGCGTTGTTCCCTCTAAATTACCATCTACTAGGAGAGAAAAAAATCTAAATCCGTCGACTTTATTAAATTATATTGTTACTGCAATATAATGTTACTACAATATGCGTAAGACAAGATTAATATTGTGACAAATTCTGAAATCTTGATGTTGTTAATTTGTGGAAGGGGCTTTAAAAATTTTCCCAATTATTTGGTAAATATTTAGAATTTTGGTATTGACAAGGCTTCTTGTGATGAACTTCAGGGATCGAAGCCGTGGAGGTACACTGGAAATGAGCCGAACATGGACAGAGAGGACATTAAGGAGTTAGTGAAGAAATGGTGGGAGATTTATAATGATGAGTCCTTGGATTGCAAGGGCCCCGCTGTTGCTGCTGTGGACGGTGGTGGATCTGTGGTCGCACGTGGCTTGGAGCCATCCGATTTGATGAGACGGGCGATGTCGGAGGCGGGTGCAGTTCGTTGCATAACCGCTCCGTCTGCTGCGTGATACTGTGGGCATGAGAGGATGTCTTGTTGGAAATTTATTAAATAAAATTATAGCATGTAAAATAAATCCGAAATAAAATAACAAGAAAGTCTGGTCTGATCGGGAGCAGTCGTTTAAACACTGCTCTAGAAGATTGAGGACCCGTCTATCGTCCTGGCGTAGATGATCCTCCCTCCCTTAACGGAAAAACCATCGGAAGCGGCCGGCCTCTGTACTCGGGCGAGAGAATAGAGCTTCAGCTCAGACGAAAAACGGTTGTCCAAAAATAACATCAACATATGAACGAAAATAATATGCATAGGAAGAAGAGAGAATTGTTTCTCTATTTTTCCGAATGTGAATAAGGGGTGTATATATAGGGTTGAGAAAGCTATTATAATTCCTACAATTAATATAGTAACGTTCGACATAAATTTTCATAATGTTCCCCATAATGTATAGCCATTATGCATGTTTTAATTGTATTCATAACATTATTTCATGTGGGACTATTTCATGAAGATAAAATTGTTTTTTTTCCAACAAAATACCCAACACAATATTGACTGAAAACTCAAAATCAATAAATAAAATAATAAATCACAAAACAAATATAGGTTGGGCAACCTTTCGTATTGTGAATTCGGGAGAGGTACCTTTCGGCTTTGAACCTTTCCTTAGTGAGTTCATCGCCACCTGAGGAACATAATGGACCAGGTTTTGAATTAGGCACATATAATCAGGTATTGACGAAAACACACACAATACGTCTTCATCTATTAAGCAAAGCGGGTTGAGCGTTAAAGGTCATACTCACAATAAACCGACTCATGAGGGTTTCTAGGGGTTAGCCCAGCCCCCCCCCCCCCTTCCTCTTACGTAGGTAAGTTCTTCAAGGGTACTACAGCTAGATATCATACCCTCTGTAATACACGCGTTGGACTTATTAAGAGTAAAACTTAGCCTAACCAGTTGTATCATAAGATCACTGTCATTATCGAGAAAGAGAAGTAGCACATGTTACTATAATAATATATAAATATATCTAGGTCGATGTTCCACACGAGTATTACTAGTCCAACTTGTTTCTATCACATTAAATCAACATTGGGACTACGTTTCCAAATAAGGGTTGGGTTTTCGTTGTTAGTGACCTCATCTATGGGTTTAACCCCATCTTCCTCGATGAATTCAGAACCACACTCCTGGATAGACCCTTTGTTAATTGGTTAGCAAAATTCTTTTTAGACTTTACAACTTTGCCTAACAGGCGTTATATATATTTATCAAGTTATTTTATAATTAGTCATTCATATTGTTTGACATTAGGTCCCCTTCTTGTTAAGTTATTTTAAAATTAGTACCTCTAGGCAAGAATACAAGTAGTAAGAGGAGGGATTAATTTAAAATAACTTATAAAGATAAGGAAACCTAACAACAATATTTAATTATTTGATGGCCTAATTTCAATATAACTTTTATTCATCATATAGAAAGAAGTTATAAGATATACCTCTTGATTTGATTTTTCAGGACATTGATTCATCACATCTCCTGTAACTAGGCATACTAGTTGATAGAGCATATTTATATCAACTCTAATCATTTTCTAAAATCTCAAGAGAAAACATTATATATGTAGTCAAATAAAAAGCTATAAAAATTAGTCTTTCTAGTCACTATTAAAATGATAGGACATCATAACATATTAGCATAAAAGATCATTGCCTATGTTCATAAATGATCGTAGTCTATGTCTAAAGATGTAACTGCATAGGGTTAATATCTGAACATTTCAAACTAATGTGGAATAAAAAAACTGTAGTTATATCTTTACATACATGCATATGCACATACATGAATGAAATTACTAATAGTTACGTGCAAAGCATTCAAGAGAACCTTATAATATGATTTCATATCTTAAAGTATATTTCATACTTCATATGCATAAATTTTAAATTCTCGTATTATAAGAGGTTGCAAATTTGTTGCCTACAAAGGAGACCTTCCAAATTTAAATTGGTTACCTGCAAAAGTGACCTTCCAAATTTAAATTGGTTGCCTACAAAGGAGACTTTCCAAATTTAAATTTATGCATATGAATTATTCTCATAATTCTGGTCCTCTTATTCATGCTTAAATATAAAATGTTTCATATGGAATTATAACAATTATTAAATAAATACAATCACATAAGCATATGATGTTGTTTGGTGGAAAATTTGTTATAAGAAAATTGAAAGAATTAAATTTGATTTATTCTTTCTAACTGCTTAGAAAAAGAATGTTTACAACTCTCTCAATGTCGCTTACAATTTGAATTTCCGATTACAAAAGAGAAGAAGATCGACGGATCGATCCTCCCCTTTGTTTAAGACTGAGTTCTTCACGGTGGCGATGGAGTACCTCCCTCGAATACTCGTATCGAGTTTGCTCTCCGTTGACAATCCGAACGTCTTATTTTATTGGAACGTGTTTGATTCCTCTTGATTGATATCGAGGATTACTTGCGTGGCAAGTTTGAAATTAACTCTTGACGAGTTAATAACTCAAAGCAAGTTTTAGAAGAACTTACAGAACAAGTTTTGAACTCTGATTGAGTTAAAGAACTCTGAATGAGTTTAGAAGAACTTGGAGAGCAAGTTTTGAACTCTGATCAAGTTGAGAAGAACTCTTATAAAGAGTTCACAAGCCAAGCCGAGTAATCTCAAAGGCTTCAATAAAAGTCTTCCAAGATGATCCAAGAATTCCTTTAAGTTGTTGATCTCCAAAACTTCAAGAAGATTTGAAGAAGCCGAGCCGATCTCCCAAAAGACCCCCCCCCCCCAAAAAAAAAAAAAAGAGAAGAAGAACCCTAAACTCGGTTGAGTTTCTTCTTATTTATAGGGGATTAAGAGGGTGTAACTACCCCTTAAATCACTCCTAAGTGGGGTATAATCGTCCTCAAATCGTGAAAACGGTTTTGAAACCGTTCAGTCTGTGCTTGAACGAGTCAAACGCCTAAACTGGTGTTCTGGGCCCGAACTCTGCATTTTAGAGATGAAACACAGAGTTGGGCCTGTGCTTAAGGCTGAAAACGCAGTGTTCGTGCTGCGTTTGGAATCTGAGACGCAGAGATGAATTCTGTGTTTTGGCATCTGAGACGCAGAGATGAATTCTTCGTTTTGGCATCTAAGACGCAGAGATGAACTCTGCGTTTTGAGTCTGGAACGTAGTCACGAGCTCTGCGTCTAGGCTTGAACGCTGGGGATGAACCCTGTGTTTTGAGCTTGAAACGCGTGCATGACCTCTGCGTTTTGATTTGAATAGATCGTCAATTTGTAGTCTATTTTGCTAGAGCGTTGCAAAGACTGTCATCTTATAATCTTCATCTTTGCTCCTTAAAACTATGAGAGTCGTCAGATTGTAACTCTCGATGTTGATTGTGAAGGCTATTGATTAGAGCTTTCATCAGTTATTATAAAGGTCTTCATCGATCTATGTAAAAGTATTTAAATTGTAGCCTTCTGGAGGCCGTCGAATTGTAACTTTCATCATTGATGTTTGATGGGGATCAGCTATCTGCAGTGATTTTTAGACAACCTACAGACGTATAAGCCCTATTTATATGGAAACCCCATATCGAATGATTTGTAATAAATTAATAATATTGCATATGATTGTAAAACAAAGTTATAAATGAAAAGGTTTTTGTCAATACAACTAGACCAGAAACTTAACTAGATCAGCTCCTAACTAAAAGCTACTAAAGTGAAAAGATCAAAATTTTATCCGGGTAGTTTAGCCAGGTAAGGATAGTACTAGAGGGAGATCAAATATCAATTAAGTACATCGTTCCTTGTAGAGCGCGTTACGCAACCCCTAATCCTTGTCTTAGACACCAACTAATCCAAGAAAACTTGAACATGTTCACTTAAAGATTTCTTGTTACTTAACAGTATATGAGAATAGTGACTGTTAACAATAAATACGTAAACAGTAACTGTGAACAGTAAATGCGTGAGTAGTACTGGTGAATAATGGTTTACATTTTGAATAGTACTTACACTTTTATTATTTATAAATGGAACATTAATTTGCTACAGTAACTGTCATGAATACTTAATTTCTACAGTATCATTAATTAATTATAATTAATTACAGGAATTAAAAAAAATAGGAAAACAATTACAGAAATAGTATTTTCCTAGAATGAACAGTAATCGCATTTTTATCAACAAGGAAAATAATTCTCTGATGAACAGTGCTTTATGTAAACAGTAAACAGATTTTTTTAAAAATGAACAGTAACCAAAGCTGTTTTTTTATAGTAACGTTGTTAACAAAAAATAAAACGGGTGAATAATAACTTTGATGACCAGTAATATTTAAAAAATAATAATTTCGGATTTAAAACAATAGCTATAAACTCCTCAATCTTCTAGATTGTTGGAAAAATATCAAATAAAATTATAGCATGTAAAATAAATCTGAAATAAAATAATAAGAAAGTCTGACCTAATCGGGAGCAGTCGTATAATCACTGTCCTAGAAGATTGAGGACCCGCTTATCGCCTTGGCGTAGATGATCCTCCTTCCCCTGTTGTGCCAAAGGCTGTGTCGAGGAACCAAACAAAACGCCAATCCAAAAGAGCTAAACGAACTAAATATCAATGCACAAACAAAACATCAATTTTAACGTGGTTCGGCAAGTTGCCTACGTCCACAGGGCAAGAAAGGGGATGAGGTTTTCACTAATAGAGAAAGAGTACAAACTGAGATTACAACTCACTCGAAGGAACAAACTAATCTCACCAACAAGCTTTTAATCTCTCCAAACAAAACCCTAAACAAATAGCTCAGAAATTACCTCTTTTCTATGCTCCAAATATCCCTAATTTTTCTTCTCCAAATTCTCTCTTCCAATTGTTCCATATATATAGAACTCCTAAAATCATAAACATACTAAGAATTCTAACCAAAAGCCAAATCAAATTAGGAATCCTAATAACCTATTACCAAAATAGATTAGGAATCCT